CCGTCGTCCCAGCATCACCATTTTCTTTTGAATTTATTTAGTCTAAAAAAGTTGTTAAGTTCATTTAGCCCTGAGAATTCTCATTAACAACCGTTGGTTACCTCATCCGGGAGATTCTCATAAATTCATAAGGGTTAGATTAAGTGCGTTCAAAATAGTTTAAAGTAGCATTAAATTTTTTTGAAAGTGTATTTTGTTTTGCAGGTATTTATAATAAAACATGCATAGTATAGTAAAGTGAAAGTAAAGTAAAATAATAAAATTGCAATAAATAAATTGGTTGTTTTTGCATGGATAATATCATAAACATAGTATAATTGCAGGAAATTTAAACAAATTAGAAGAAAATCTAATATAAAGAAATCTAAACCAGTCATAGAAAATAGGAGTAAGGAAAAATCCGATGTCACATATGAAAGACCGAGATTGAGTGTAAGAATTTAGTAAAGATGGGGGTTTAGAGCTATGTTGTGTTCTTTATAATTCCAACTTTGATAAAAGCCGCCATCCTGATAATTTGAGGAGGGGCAATTTCTAATCTCAATCCAAGTAATTAACATGTGCACTTTTATAAGTTTTAATCAAAATTTTTTAATTTTTCATACATGTGAAGTTTATTTTGGCAAGCAAAAGTAATCACATCACAAAAAAAGATTTTGTTTTCTTATATTGTAAGTATATAGTTTTATAAAATAACATAGTCCACAACTAATTACTCTAATCAGGCTAGGACTACCGGCAACCTAAGAGTGTCAGGGGCAACTCTTACCAAAGCTGGTGAATAGTATCATCGGTCATATTCTTTTTCCCGAAGGATCCTTGAAGTAAGAGATACTATTTCAAATCCCACTTTATATCCCTCGTTTAGGACACATATGCAAGGTCATCACTGCCCTTGTCCTCTAGACCTCTGACTTACACAAGCCTGGTGATCCGTATGTGGCAAAATGCTCCCAAATGCTCACATGGGTTTAAACACCTTATTCAACACTCAAACCCTTAAGCATTGGGTTATAAATGTAGGATAATTAGTGTAGCGCATTTTATTAGAAGTGTGAATTAAAGGTCAGGTTGGTGGGTCCCTAGGATTTTGAGGATGGTTTTCTTTAACAAAGCATAATAGATCCAATTGTCCTTCAAAATATCAAAAAGATTGTAAAAGTGTTCGGGGCATGACCCTAAACATCTTTTAAATCCTCTGAATCATTTCGAATTCATTTGGACTGATCAACTTATTGAATTAATCATCCCTAGTGAAATTAGGATTTAGTTGTGGTGTTCTAACTTATACTAAGTGAACTTTAATGTTTTAATTATCCCATGAGTAGGCTAAGTAGACATTCATATGACATTTAATTTGGAAATTATGTGGGTGCCTGCCCTTAAGGGCAAGTTAAGTTGTTAAGGAATCCTCACTTCTTCAATTGAAATTAAACTTTTAGTATTTTAAAGATGTAATAATTGATTGAATGTTTTTTTTCTAAACCTCGTTAAGTGATTTTAGATCAAGCCTAGTTCACAACTAACCTCTTAAATCTTTATGGGTAGATTTGTAATTTTGAAAAATGTTGAATGAGATGAACTTATTTCTTATCAAAAGATTGTATTGTCGTCTAACCATTGATTTGGAGCCTCAATTTAATGGATTATTATCTTCCTAGATCAATCCCTTCACATTAGGATCATCTCTTGATTAACTTCTAAATCACAATAATTTAGAAAATTACATTTTTTACCATATCATATAAAATAATATGAATTGGTTTCTACCATTTAACCCTTTATGTTTCAATCGTTTCAGAGAGTTAATTGTGATCAATGTCACCCATTTGCCCTCTAATTTGACCTAAATTTTAATTAAAGTTCAAAATTTCATAATTACTATCTTACTCTAAGGCTTACTATCTTACTCTAAGGCTTTTCACTTCATAATTCTCTCAATTTAACTCAAATAACCTTGAAACTTTGTTTTTATCCTACTCATAGGTCAATTGAAACATCAGCAGAGGATTTATATTTTTCCAATTTTTATTTGATTTTAATGATTACTTTAGTTCAAAAATAGGAATTTTAAATGATGATTAATTTAACTAACCAAGACATATCCTCTATCTGTAGAAAAATTATTGGAGGTTTACCTAGGTTAGAGGACCATTTAAAATTATTTTTGTAAATTTTTTAATTATATTTTAAATTTTATAATTTTTAATTGATTGATTTTAATGAATAAATAAATAGAAAATATATTTTATTTTTGAAAATTCATTTTTTTTATATTTTTTATAAGTCTCTCTAACTTCAAGAAACTAGAGAATTTTCAAAATTTTCTGATATTTTATTTTATTTTATTCAAATATAGAGAAAAATAAATTTAAAGGTTAAAAATTATAGTTTTATATTAAAAAAATTCAGAAAAGCAATTTTTAGTGGTTCTATGTAATTAAGATGAGTTTAATAATATTTTGGAGTATTTTTATAATTTTAAGATTTTTGATATTTTTAATTATTTTCAAATTAGAAAAATGGTTAAAAATTAACTTTTTATTTTAACTCCAATTTTATTTTTCTTAAATTTCTCAAGTTCCAAGAAACACTTTACACTAATTTTCATAATTTTATTTACTTATTTATTTATTTATTATAATTATTTCAAGCCAAAATTATTATTTACTTAGAAAATAAATTTTCATATTAAAAATAATTTTTTTGACTTTCAATTTTTTATAGAATCTCAAAAATGTGATTACCTACAATTTGACCCATTTTGATAATTATTTGAATTATTTTATATTTACAATTTTCATTAATTTTTATTAATTTTAAATAAAAAAAAATACATTAAAGTTTTTTTAAGTCTGACTTTTATCTTTTTATAATCCTCTGACTGCAGTAAGCTTACCAATCTTGATTTATATTTTTCTGACCTTTATTTTATATAATTTCTTTAATTAAAATAATATCAAATATCTGAAAAATCAGACCTTTTGACCATAGAGGCATTCTATGACATTGAAAAAAAATCAGAGAACACTCATAAGCTTACCAAGAACAAGCTCTCAAAATTTCATTTAATCTAGATAATTATTTAATTATTCATGATTTAATTGCTCTTTGAAGCATTCAATTAATTTAAAAAAATATATAATGAAAACATTTTTGATTTTTAGTTCATATTTTCTCCTCTGTTCACCGAATAAGATATTTTTATTTTATTTTTATGATTTTTTTACACAAAGATATGAATTTTTAAAATTTTTGTAATTATTTACTTCCAAAATACCATAATTTTCTACTTATCGAAGTCGGCGTTGCATCATCCTCGACGTCTCCGAACTTACATGCGTCGCGCTATGATTGGGTGACCTTTCCACGCAAGCTTATGACTTGGCCCGCGGTTCGCATATCACCCTTCCACCTGACTCCATTTGCTTCGTCCGATTGATTCATGCTCGAATGGACGACATCCGTTCATCATCGCCGATCACCCTAAATCGAAAATCGTTGCACTCATTGAATTCGTCTCATCGAAATGCCCAATCCGACTATAAACTTGTCAGATTTAAAGATTATTTGCTTGCCATACTTTAAATGCATGATCGACTCACTTGAACGCGGATCATAACATTTTTAATATCATTTGTTTCATCATTTGGTTCATCATCATTATATGATTATAAATTGAAGTTTAGGCCTTTCAACATCAAATTTTTTAAACTTCTGATCAAAATGTACATCAATACAATTTTATTAGAAAATTTGTTAAAATCAGAATTAGGTTCATCATTAATCTGACTATAAAATTTATTAAAATTATCACGCATCAAATATCTTAATTATCAATGAATTACATTTTAACAGATAAAACAAAAATTCTTGCCAACTAGCACGCAGGACATGAACATGTGTTAGGAGTTGTCTGTGCTTGCGTCTGTTGTTTCTTTCCAGCGGTGTGTCACGCTCCGCGACATTCGAGAAATCATCGAGGCGAACAGAGGATGGAAGACTCTAGAGAAGGTCCGAATATGAGGAGTCATCAAAGGGACTCTAGAAGATTCCACCACGTTCAGGGGAGAGCAAGAAGGAAAAGCTCTAAAGAGGATCTAAGAATAACCTAGAATGTTCTAGAGTTATTTATGTACATTAGAATAGTCTAAGAGATAGAATATTATATTGTAATCTAGAAGCTTCTCTTGGACATTGTATAGTCCCGTCACAACATGACATCAAAAGATAGAAAAAATATTAAATCAGGACTCTTAATGTATTCAGTTCAACAATGAGGCGTCATGTGTCAAGTGGGCCTCACTATTTTTTAATACTGACTAATACTAGTTTATTACGGTGAGACCCATTTGATACGTGTCGCTTCACTGTTGGACTCCGAACGCAGACTGTGTTAAAAAGCATATCACTAAAAAATAAAGATCCGAAAGGATATTTACAAATAATTTAATATCATTTAGCTATAGAATAATAAGAGCTAAATCAGAGAGGGTATATTTGTATACCTTTGAAATAATTTATGAAAAGTTATTTAAGATTCGTTTTTTAGATAAAATAACAAAAGTTTCATATGTTTTTTTTTATTCATATTTTTAAATTTATATAATTAAATGATATTTTTTTAATTTTTTGAAATTTTTAAATATTTTCAGAAATTGGATCAAAATAAATTTGTTTATATTTTTTAAATAAAATATGATACATAATTAATCTTTTATTATATTTTTTAAATGGAATGAATAATTTTAAAACAAATAATGAACCATTTTAATTTTTAAATTTTTTATATATTAATCGTTCAAAATATTAAATATAAAATTTTAATCATATAAACTTAAAATTTATGTTTTAATGATTAATTAATAGCGAGTGATTCTCATAAATAAAGATTTAGTGTGATTAGAGTATTAATTTTTTATTTTAAGTAGTTAAATATTATAATTATTATTTTAAATGGTAGCTATAAAAAAACTTTTTTTATTTTCCCGACTCTTTGCTTTCCCTTCTTTCTTTTATGCCTTTTCTGGAGAACCCCTCTCTCTCACTCTCGATTCGAACTCGCTCTCTGTAATTCAGATTACAGCACAGATTATAATGAGTTCGGGATCCTTTTTCAAGGTGTTGCTGAAAAATTTCGACGTTCTTGCAGGGTATGCAAAGCCTAAGAACTTTACTGCTTTACATATCAGATTTGCTGCTCTCGCCCGTTTTTAGCTGCATTTATAGTAAATCAAGCATGAATTACATCCGATTGAGTTTCTTTCAAGCTGAAATGGTCGACTAATTTAGAGCTGGATTTGCAATTTTAGAGAGTATGTACTGGGAAAGTTCCTACCGATTTTTATCTTGTTCTCATTTCTAAAACCTAAGCCCATTTTTTGTCTAGTTTGTTGCAGGATTTCTGTTAGGGTTGATCTTTTTTCTCAAAATTTGTAGAGGTTTGTACAGGAAGAAATGTACTGGATGTTTTGTGTTTCATTTCTATGCGTTGAGCGAATAAAGCCTCTTAACTCCTTTTAGAAAGTCATGCCCTTAAAGTCTTAAAGACCCTCCATTTTTTTCTCCTTGTACCTCATACGCTTAAGTTATTTCATCAATTTAGATTTTTTTTGCTGGTCGCCTATAAAAGAATATTGGGTAACCAGCTTTATATAGGCTCATTACAGTCAATGGATTTGTCATTTTGTTGCCGCTGCAAATTTTATGATGGTTTGATTGGGGAGAATTACAATCCTATTTACTTTGGTACAGCATAAGTTCAATGGCCTCCTCTTTATAAAGAAAAAACATAGGGTAGCTAAAAATGCTGTAAAATCTTCAAAAAGACTCTTAATGAGATGACTCATATATTTGGAAAAACTTGGGTTAACCTACAACTAAGTGCACATAACATATATCGTTAACATTAGGCTTTAGTAACTTAATAACCGATATTTATGTAATGGCTGACTTGACAAACTTTGAAAATATACCATATCAGTGGTAGTTATGGAGATAACACAAATTTAAGGCTTTGGTAACTCAATAACCGATATTTATGTAATGGCTGACTTGACAAACTTTGAAAATATACCATATCAGTGGTAGTTATGGAGATAACACAAATTTATGCCGTGGCCGACTTGACAAGGTAGAAAGAGGATGTAGAAGTTTCAAATTTATGGCAAATATTCAAACTTGTTTAAAAAAAATTATTTACCTAATTGTCAATTCTTTGAAGATTTTCCACCTTTAAATCTCATCTTTAAGAGAGGGTGAGTAATATAAGGTTCAAACAAGTTTAATTGGTTAGATTTATCCTTTTTTTCAGTTATTGGATAAATAGTTAGTAGTTACCATTTGAATGAGGGAAGGTTAAGGAATTTCATTTTCCACCATTAAAACACAATACAAGAGGGTGAGTGATTTGGAGAAAATTTTTGTTCTTGGAAGAGGAATATGTCCTATATAACACCTAAGTTTGGTCAGCAAGATCAAATAATTTATCACTCACTCCATTTTCTACCAACTGCTGAAGTAGTGGATCTTTCATCATCTCTATATTTGAGAACTTAGCATCAACAGTCATCAGCAAGCCTAATCAGGGAATAAGAGAGGAACTGATAAACTACGAAGAAGCAACACGGTTGTAGAAATCAATGGAACAAAAGAACATTTTCTTCTCAAACCCAAATACACCCCTCTCACCACGAAAGTGGGTTAGTGCCAAATAGGTGGACATTTTAGTATTGATTTGTGCTCTCATTTGTGTTCTTCAGTCAATTTACTATATGTGTAAATATATAATTTTTCATGATATAAGCCATTTCCACTCCCAGTCTACAAAAAATGAAAAGGAAAAATTTTTAGCTTTTATGATCTCTTTCTGTATCTTTTTAATATGAGTAAAGTGCCAAAATAACCCCTTGACTATTTACATGGGGTCATTTGAGTCTTAGAATCTGTAAGAGTGTCAAATTAGTCTCCAGACTCTTTTAATATTGGTTGAAGTTGTCTCTAGAGAGGACTATTTTACCCCTTATTAAAATATTCTGGAACTAAATTGACACTTTTATAGGCTTTACGACTACCCCAACAAAGAATCGGAGGATCATTTTGACACTTTTTTCTTTTTAATACGCAATTTATATTTATTGATCCTAACACAATTTTTCCTTTTGATTTACAGGCCTTTGGTCACACTAGTTTACCCTTTGTAAGTGTCTGTTGTTATTTTAACACTAATTGATTTTCTATTTTACTTGGTAGTTGTTTCTTGAATTGATAAACTGCGGACTCCTATGATATTTTAATAGGTATGCTTCAGTAAAGGCAATAGAAAGTAAATCTCATGTAGATGATCAGCAATGGCTCACTGACTGGGTGTTGTATTCCCTAATCACACTTTTTGAGCTTACGTTTGTGAAAGTCTTAGAATGGTAAACACTGACCTTATACTTGTTCTCTTTTCTTTTTTTGTCTTGTTGTAATAAGAGACAAGGTATCCAGTCTCTGATGTTGATACAGTCTTGTTTGACGTTTGATTTCTCTTAAATTCTCTCTTTAATATTTAAATGGGGCATTTACATGCATAGCACCCAATTCTTTTTTATTTACATATCTAACAACTAAATTTTACTTTTTAGATTTATACTACCCAAATCTTTCATATCACATCAAAAATATTTCCATGTTAACTTTTTTCAAAGTGAAAAATACTTCTTCATGCATAGTTAAGGTGGCATGTATGTAAAATTGAAGTTTGGATGTTGGATATGTAAATACATAGGAATTGGTTGATGTATATGTAAATGGCCCTATATAAAAATGACTTTGTTTAGCTAAATACTTGTGATAATAATTGGAATCACTGTAGAGTGCATTGAATTAACATATGGTGAGCATGCTATTAAACTTTAATTTTTATAAAGTCAATCTATCATTTGATTCAGTTTTATATAATATTTTATGTTAAAATCAAGTTTGATATTTTGAAGAAAAATTTCTTTTAACAACAAACTTGGTAAAAAAAAAACAAGCTTAAAGATTTGTGATTCTACGATGATCATGGGGGAACAATGATGGAGAGCTGGGACATTGGGCTGAT